TCATTAATCTATCATTTGGTACATGTGTATGTATATGAGATGTAGAAACTTTATAAGATGCACATGAAATAGTATTATTAGAATGTTTATGTGCTTCATAGTAAAATTTAGTAAGATGGCATTTTCGGCCGCAAATAGAGCATTTATAATTTTGCTATATATGTGTGCATAATGAGTGGACTTGTTTGCATTAGACTTATCATACATATTCACAAGTTACCTATGATTGTCAATGCATTTAGTTAGAGTTGAATCTAAAGAAAAAATACAATCTTTAATATTATTCAACTCATCATTTGACATAATATTATTGATAATAGAAGTAGAACAATCATGATTAATTTTAAAAGAATTAAATTCATTCCTCGTTGTTTCTACTTCTAACATGACATCATTTTTCTCATGAGATAAACTAGCAACATCCTTTTTTTAATTTTTCATTGCTTTCTTTAAGGTTTACATTTTCACTAGCAATGATATTAAACTTAGTTTCTAGTGCCTCATGATCAGATTTTAAGATAACATGCTTGCTTTTTAAATCTACAAAATTATGATGCAATTTGTTATAGGCTTTCATTAATCTATCATAAGCACATGCGAGTTCATTAATAGATAGATCATTATTGGAATCAGACTCGTATACCTCACTAGGGCTATCGCCTAGTGGACGTGTGCACAATAAAGATGAAGTTCCAATATTACTTGAAGTGGACTCCACCTAAATAAGTTAAAGTTCCTCTAAGTTGTCATGATGTGCTTCTATATGTTTTCATAAGTTGTAAGCACTATTAAAATGAGCAAGTTTGATAGAAATAGATGATTCAATAGCATTTAGCTAAAATTCTAACAAAAACTTGTTCAAAATAAATATTATTTTATCATTTATGCTCCAAATAGATTTATCTAATTTGGGCATAACATATGCACTATCAATGATTTCGCATAAATCGAAATGCCTAGATCAAAAAAATATTTTAAATCTAGAACACCATTGGGCATTAGAGAAATCATTGAAAGAAGGAGCAATATTAGGATTATAGCCTAAACAAGGTGCATAAATGCATGTCCATAATACATATAAATATGCAAGCAATATAAAAATTATCAAAATTAGATTAGCATAAAAAGATAACTTGGATCTTTAACTCAAGATGATTAGACCTTAAATCAAATAGCACCAAGCTCAGATACCAATTGAAAGACCCTACAGGGGGTAAATAGGGTCAATGCTAATCTAATTCTGATTTTATGCCAATTAAAATCTTTCTTGATTAATTAATTCTTGCAAAAGATATATGAGTGAGTTATGAGTAAGAATGTAAATTAGAAGCACAAAATAAATATACACAAAGCAAACTCAAACACAAGATATGATCACAGAGTTCAGTCAACCCTTGACCTACGTCTCCGCTCCTCACCTCGAGAAGATTTCCACTATATCGATACACCCGGTTTGGAAGCCGAAACTTCTCTACACACTCGGTTTTGTAATTCACCAAAAACTCTACAAGACACTCATAATGTACATACACAAACTACAACCTCAAATATTGGTCCTCACATATCGCCTCCCTCAAGTGCTCAGCTTTACTAGCTCTCACTAGGCTTTACTAACAACATCACTCCTCTTGGTATCGACTACATCCTCACCACACACTCCTCTCGGTGTAAATGTGTATTACAAGGTGATACTCACAAATGAAGCTCAAATACAATAAATTGTTCTCTAAAAATGATGTATTACAAGGTGATACTCACAAATGAAGCTCAAATACAATAAATTGTTCTCTAAAAATGAATGAGAATATAATGAAGCTCACTCTCACAATATCACTCACCACAACCCACAATATAGTGTATGTAATCCTAGAAGCTCAAATAGGGATGTGTGTGATAAAATGAGTTTAATAAAATCTAACTCAAATAGCAAACTAGCAATAATATGAATATAAAAATCAGCAATAAAATGCTAGATAAATGAGTTAGAAACACTTCTCTATAAACACAAGGAGAGGATGAAATTGATTGGGGATGAATTTCTCAATTGAAAATGTAAGCTTCTTTTTTATAAACAAACACTAAACTTGAGAAGAAACTTAAACAAACTTTTAAACCCTTTAAAACTCTTCTTAAAACCCACTTGGATGATTCTCAGAAGTAAAACAATAAGGGGTGTATATAGGATGAAAATAAAAGCCTAAAAACCAAGAAAACCTAGCAAAAAGACAAAAAACACAAAAGGTTAGAAAAACTAGCCGTTACAGGTGTCGGTCGACTGTTGAGCTGAATCAGTCGACTGACGAGCTGACCGTTACAGACAGCTAACAGCTTATCAGTCGACTGAAGAGTTCATCAGTCGACTGATGAGTTCATCAGCCGACTGATGACCCATTAGTTGATTGATCAGTCGACCAAATAAGAAAGCAGAAACTTTTGAAGATTGCAGGCAGTTTTATCAGTCGACTGATAAAAATCATCAGTCGACTGATAACAGGTTTTCAGCCTGTAATGAATAGTAAACACAATTTTCAAATCTCTTTTAAAAATAGCAAATAAATTCCAAAAAAATATAAAACTTTGGGAAAAGTTTATAAACATGAATATGAACATGTTGGAAAAGGAATTTATCAATTTACTCTTACTATTTGTGAAATCTCAGAAATATTTAAAAACACTAAAATACATGTGTTTATAAACATGTTGATTTTGACATTTAGCTCAAATCAAGTTTTGAAAACTTATGTAATGTTTTTATGGACTTAATAAATAATGTTTGTATAGTCCAAAGCATATTAAAATATATTTTGCATGAAAACACCTATGATTTGAGGAATTTCACAAATAAATGTGTATGTAAAATTTGAGCTTGAAGAATTAGCACACATTACGTATAAACCTATACTAAGTATACCAAGAGTGAATCGTATGAATCTTGAACTTGATTGGTTGATTTGATTTGCATAGGCTTCAATATCCGTGTAGCTTGTTTTCCTGTATATACTAAACAACACAAAACAAAATACTAAAAACAATATTAATCATAAATTATTTGTTAAATCATTATCAAAACAAGAAGGCCAACAACACTGACCTGTGGAGTAGATTACCATGGACATATATCTTTGTATCTTGGCTTTTAGGTTAGGTCTTTGGGCTATGCCCGAGTTATAGGTTGAGTGCGGAGGTTCCCTACTTTAGTGAGTTAAAAAGTGTGTATCTGTTTGACCAGTCAACAATTTGCAACAAAGTGGTCTAGTTAGCCAAAATATTAAATCTAGGTTGTATGCACAACTACGGTTCCAACTCCCGAGCTAAGATGGAATTCAAGTTGCATTAGGGGTTGTTTGGTAGGATGCAACTAAAGGCTTTGCAACTAGAGTTGCATGCAACTGGGCTATTTTAGACCACTTAAAACTGTTTGGTTCACTGCAACTAACCCGTTACAATTGCAACTAGAGTTGCAAATTAGGTCTCACTTGTAGTATTTGAGTTGTAGCAAAATCTGCTGTAGGTCACACTTTCAAGAGAAAGGCCTTTTAAAGTTGTAACCGCATTTACAAACTTACCCATTCCCAACCTCAAAAAACCCTGACTCTCCCTCATCCATTTTTCATTCTCTCTGCTCACAAGCATCCTCTTCATCAAAAAAATTCTCAATCGAATCTCAATTTTGTCACAGAGAATCAATGTCAAAATCGTACCTTGGGTCTCTCCTGCTTCGCGTTTCAGATCAGAACTCGAATATTTTACTTTTTAATTGGAGAATACTCGCCTTTGCTGAGATTCATTCTCTATAGCTAGGCAATCAATAGGGTTTGGCTGGATTTGAAGTAGATATCTATAAATTTTAGGGAAATCTTGGGTCTGAGCATCAATCCTCAAAATCAAAGGTCTGAGCATCTCCTCAAATTTTTAAAGATTGTTTCTTCATCAAGGTTAGATCTTCAGTTTCTACACTTGTTTTTACTTTTTCTTGATTTTAGTTTTTCTTGCTTTCATCCTTTTTCTCTGATTTATGGGTGAGTTGGGTATGAAGATGTAAGAAATTGGGGATTTCTCTGATTTGTGGCCAAGTTGCGTTTAAAGATGTAAAAATTAGGAATTTGGGCTTTAATGGTAGATTCGTATCAAGTAGTTAGTTTGCTTTTCTTTTTTTGGGGAGGTTGTGGAGGATCGGGGTGGTGCGGGGGCACAAGGGGCTGGTGAAGTGTCTTCAGGCCACGGAATTTTAGGGGGATTGAGGAGGATCTTCAGATTTCTCTGTTCTAACCTCTTAAATATTTTTTGGGGCATTTCATATCATGTAAATTTTAATTCATGCCATTTTTGGTATTTATTTATTTATTTTCTTCTTGTAGATGGAAAGGAATTTAAATTTGGCACTTGATCCTGAAGATGACGAAATAGCCGCATATATTATAGTATCATGTGCATTCTCTGTTATGTTATGGATGGAAGGTGATGAGCAAATATTAGACGAAATGGTTCCTAGAGTAATTAGAGACTCTCATAGAGAAACTTATTTGCATAGAATACTTGATGATGTAGATGTAAACTGCATAAACATGCTCAGATTGATGAAGCAACATTTTATAAATTTGTGTGACACATTGCGAACTAGGGGTTTACTTAAAGACACTATTCATGTAATTGTGGAGGAACAAGTTGCCATGTTTTTACATACTATAGGACACAATGTTCGTAATCGAGTGATCGGTTACAACTTTATAAGATCCGGTGCAACCGTTAGTGGATACTTCAAGGAAACTTTACATGCCATTGGAGAATTGCGTGGTGAATACATCAAGGGACCAAGTAGCACAACACATCCGAGAATATCAACAAGCTCTACATTTTGGCCCTATTTTACGGTACACTTAGTTTTTTACAATTTAATTTATTAGTCAATCATGAATTGTGATACTAAAAAATAGAAGTGTTCCTAGGATTGTGTAGGTGCATTAGATGGAACACATGTGCAAGCTCAGGTACCCTCAAATATGGTAGGAGCCTTTTGCGGTAGGAAACCATATCCTACTCAGAACGTTCTTGGTGCCATTGATTTTGATTTGAAGTTTACTTACATACTTTCCGATTGGAAAGGCTCCGCTCATGATGCACTAGTATTAAAAGATGCTATTGAAAGACCAAATGGCTTAAAGATACCTCAAGGTGAAATAAAAATATGCAAACTTGGTTTCTAATTTAATAATAGACTTAGCTAAATTTAATATTCAATTTTAGGAAAATATTATCTTGTAGACGCTGGTTACTCAACAAAGGTGGGATTTATCGCACCATGTCGTGGAGTTCGATACCATCTTCGTGAGTATAGTGAACGTTCACCCACAGACTATAAGGAACTATTCAATCTTAGATATTCATCATTGCGTACTTCTATAGAGAGAGCATTTGGTTCCTTAAAAGGTCGTTTCAAAATTCTAGCATCAAGACCTTTTTTTCCTTTCTGCACCCAAGTGGATCTTGTACTTTTTTGTAGTATTCTACATAATTTTGTTATTACAAATGGTGGAGATGATTTGATTCTTTTTGAAGAAGAATGGGTTAATCAAAACCTTTCTCAAGTGGGACGGTCAGTGAGAGAGCAAAGAGATGAGGCAAGAGAGTGGTTGCAAAAGCGTGAGCTAATAGCCAAAGATATGTGGGCTAATAGAAGGGTGTAATGATATGTAATCTTTTATTTTTTATGTCTTTTACTATGTTATTTTTTGAACGTTGTATAATCTGTATTTTTCACAAGTAAGAAATGGATGATACCATAGAAACATTTGAACAAAGTGGAGAATCAAGTCGGCGAAAGAGGGTGAAACAAGTTGCTCCTAAAGGGATTCCAAACGTTCGTTGGAAACCTCAATGGTCAAAGTCATTAATATTATTTTTGATAGAATAAGTACGTGGTGGATGAAAAGTTGACAAGGGATTCAAAGATCCTGTTTATATTGCTGCAGCAAAGCATATCAATGAAGAATTTGGAATCAACATTTCAAAGAATAACTCTTATAATCATTGGAGGACCCTAAAAACAAGGTGGGTTAGAATTCAAAGGCTAAAGGAGATAAGTGGAGTTGGATGGGATGAAGAAAACAAAATCATCCAAATAGGTCAAGAGGAATACTCTACATATATCGAGGTAATGTATTCACTTGGCTTATCTGTTTATTCATGGATTCACTAGGTAATGTATACACAAGGTCTGGTTCGGATGTTATTTGCTTTATTTAAAGGTACGCAATTAAATTCCAATCATACTCCTTGATGTAGCTTTGCTTCATGATAGACCTTCAACATGAAAGTATCTTTATCTGCATGAAATAGTTTTATCTTTGAATATCTTCAACTTCTTGTGCCATTAACAGATGGGTTGTTGCTTATTAACTAGGTGTGATCGCTAAGCCTTTTGTCTTCTCCATTCACTACCACAAAATAGGTCTGCGAGGACGGTTCATTGGGGACATTTTAAAACCGTCCCCTTAGCTGTCTAAGGAAACGGCTTTGTGACAGTTCCACCCATCACAATAGAGTCTAAGACAATACTTTAAAATAAAGTGTTGGGCTTGAATTAGTTTTGCGAATAAATTGTGTAATGGGCTAAAGGGGCGGTCCCCAAATTTTCATTTTTGGTTTTGAGAATGAGCACCACACTTTTCCCCCATCAAAACAAATCACCGCGTCTCTAGGGTTTTTCTCGTAGCAATCTCTTTTTCGTCAGCCAGCTCTCCTCGATGGAGCAAAGCCCGCCGTCTCTCCTTCACTCACGCTCGTCCTCGACGATCTCCACCTCGCGTTTCCCTCCTCCCCTTGGCTCCTTCACTTCCCCTCATTCGACAACTCCGCTTGTTTGCCAACCTCGTCAGCCACCTCTCCTCAATTCGCCCTTGTCCACCGCCTCCCCTCACGTCCTCCCCGTCTTCAAGGACTGTCGCCGAGACCTCCACACGACTCAATAAAAGGTATCGATCTCATTTCCTCCTCCTATTTCCCTTGTATATCCTTTGCTTAGTTGACGCATTTCTTTACTTCGATTTTGAGTATATTTAGCAATTATGCCTCTATATTGAGCATTTTTAGCAACTTTCTAGGGTTTCTGCGATGAATCCCTTTGATTTTCTTGATTATATATCGCAGCGTATGAATTTAGAGACATCTTGAACCCTAGTTTTAGAATATCCTGCATTTAGTGTAATTTTTCGATAAAATTGTTTAGTTAATTATTGCAATGTCTAATTTTCCCCTAAATTTGAGTATTTGCTGGTGTTTGGTGGTTGTTAGGTGAGGATTGAAGAGGAGTTCACTGGATTGTACATGTTATTCTGTTCAAAATGATAGATCTTTTGTCACTGAGAGCCCTAGCATCAGTAATTTGAGGATTGATTAGTTATTTCAGTGTGCATTGCTTTTAGCTAGCTTTGGATTGAGATTATGTCAGTTTTGTACTTGTAGATTGGTTCTTGGCTATGCTTATCCAGCTTTTGAGTGATATAAAACCGAGGAATTGAACATGCCAGAGATTGAGCAGTTGCGGTTTTGGTGTCAATATTGGTGGGTTTCTTTCTTTACTTGTTCAAAGTGTAAAGGTGCAAACATCTCACACCAATTGGTGTCAATATTGGTGGGTTTCTTTCTTTACTTGTTCAAAGTGTAAAGGTGCAAACATCTCACACCAAAGTTAATAGTGCAAACAAATATTGATGCTTTACTTGTTCAAAGTGTAAAGGTGCAAACATCTCACACCAAAGTTAATAGTGCAAACAAATATTGATGTATAGATGCATGCCTTATTAGACATTAATCTTTGATAAATATGAATATCCTCCAATTGAAATGTGTGTATACATAATAATGTCACATGCATGTTGGTAAGGACTAATATTAACTATGATCCATCTTCTATCCAAGTTTTAGTTCATCCTATCCGATGTGAACTGAGTTTTGATATCCTTAGTTTTGCATCAACTAGAAAGATTAATGTAGTTATGACCATATCCTTGCAAAATACAACGCTACACATTCTTGAAAATAGTTCTATAAACAAAATATGAAATTAATAAATTTTCACTTTTTTAGATATAAGCATATTTTAGATTATGTATACTACTATTAAACAAATAGTTATGCTTGAGAGAGACTAGTCCTATAAAATAACTTGCAAACTCTTTAGTTGATGGATTCTTATACATTGTTAGTAAGTAGATATATATTATTTATTAACTGCCCCAAAATTTTAGTAATTAGTGGTCAGCCAAAGATGAAATTTGAAAGTGGTTATAGTGTAGAGACTGTTTTTGATGACAGTAAGCTTGGAATTGAGCCATTCTCCGTTGAGGTGGCACCTAGCAGGGAGCTGCTGGTTCTTGATTCAGTGAATAGCAACATGTATAGGATGTCAATGTCATTATTAAGTTGTGAGTTAGTTTTCTGTTATGTTTCTTGTTGTTTGTCTTATTTCTCACATAGATGTAATAATGCTCCTGAAGTATTTTGAAGATTTGTCAATATACTGATTGCCCAACTTGGGTGGTTTGTATATCGCTTATATAAATCTTGTTCTTTGTGTTAGCCTTCTTGTTTTGATGATGATTTAACAAACAATTTACATCTAATATTGTTTGTCTAGAGCTTGTATTTTGTTATTTATTGTAGACAAACAATATGTTGGAGGATGGATGGAATCGAGCCTCAACGATCATATCCAAAGGAGGTTGGCAGAATGTCGGTGAAGCTTATGCAATTCAAGTTCAAGATCCAAGTTTAGCTTCATCCGCAACGTGTACCAAGTTGAGCTACAATGAAGATCAAGATCAAGCTTGGGTAATTCAGTTTAGGATTTATATTATGTGTGTTAAGTACTCTAAGCTCAATTATCTATACACACACATTTATTGGTTTCTTTGTATATATATATATATATATATATATATATATATACACACACACACACACACACACATAAGTTTTGGTTTCTATGCATATGTATAGTTATATACATTTATATACATGTATGGTTTTGGTTTTTCATGTTTATAATATGAAATCACATATTTCATATTTACTATTGTTTTTTTCAAAAACATTGCATAGAATATGTAATTTAATGAAAATATTGTTTTCTTAGTTTTTGGACTTAACAATAATCATATACATATTTTATTAAGTCTATATAATCATTGTGCAAAGTTTCAAAACATGGTTTAACCTAAATGTCAAAATTCACATGTTTACATTTTTGTGTTTTGGAATATTTTTGCAAAATAATAATTTTTCACAAATGGGAAATGCAATTTGGAAAATTCTTTTTGTAACATGTTCATTTACATGTTTATATACATTTCCCAAAGTTTCATTATTTTTGGACTTTATTTGTTATTTTTAATATATTTTCCAAAAGTCTCAAATCTGCTTTCAAAACTGTTTTTCTGCAGTATCAGATCGCGGTCGACCGCCACGGTCGACCGCCAAGAGTTCTGAACTCGGAACTGTTTTTGTTGGCTCGCGGTCGACCGTGGCGGTCGACCGTAGCGAGTCGCTTGTCAAGAGTAGTAGTTTGGTTTTTTTGTTGCTCGCGGTCGACCGCAGCGGTCGACCGCAGCGGTCGACCGCCGCACTGTCAACTCAGTTTCAATGGCTATTTTTAGAGCCATTACAGAATAGTTTTTTGGTCTTTTTTTTGTCTTTCTCTTACCTTTGGGGTTTCATATAAATACCCCCTTTACCTCAGTTTTATAAGACAAGCAAGAAATGTTTTAAAGAGTTTTAATCAAGGGTTTAAGTTGGTTTAAGTGTGTTTATAAGCTTTTAAGCATTTGAGTGTTTTCGGTTTGGTGAATCAGTTTTACAAGAGCTTGAGGAGATTATCAATTGTATTTTGGGCATTCAATCCATCTCCATCTCTTGTTATCAATTGAGAAGTTTTCTAAACTCAAACTCTAGCTTTACATTTATATACTTGTTTGATTATCATTGTTCTTAAGCTAGATTTTATATTTGAGTTTAGTTGATTTGATTTACTCATTGTTACACACACCCACTTTGAGCTTATTGTATTTGCATATATAGTATATTAGGGTTGTGAGAGATTATAACATTGAGGTTTGCTTAATTGAGTTCTCATCTATTATAGAGAAGAAATTTATATTTGTTACATTGTGAGTGTTGTAAGGTTTTCGGTGAGCTAGAAAACCGAGTGTGTTGTGAAGTTTTCGGTGAACTAGAAAACCGATTGTGAGGAGTGACGTTGATCGGTGAGCATTGAAAACTGACACTGTGAGGTGTAAACATTATTCGGGTGAATGTAGAAAACCCGGTTGTGATAGTGGATTTTTCCCCGGGAGTGGGGAAGGTCTGAACTCCGTGATCATATTGCTTGTTTGAGTTTGTCTTTGGCGTATTTGTTTTTGTATTTATCTTATATCGCCAATTGTGCATTGCTCATCTATTTCATCCACTATCTTGTTTAGATTATTTACCCTTGTGTTGTTTATATATCCTTACATATATCATTTTGTAATATCTCATTGCTAGGATATATTCATTTGTTCATATTGCTTATCCTTGCTCATTTATCTTGTTGTATTTCATACTTGTTAGGATAACTTATTAATTAATTTTAATTGGTATTTAAATCGGATTAGATTAGCATAAGACCCTAATCATCCCCCTCTAGGGT